GTCACAAAGTGAGACAAGCCGTGGAGCAGAAGATTATCCTACCTTGCTACACTAGAAGTGAAGATCAGTTGGCTGATATCTTTACCAAAGGAGCAAGTAGTAAAGTCTGTGAGTTCATTCATCCGAGATTAGGACTCATAGACCTTGATAGATCATGATCTCCTTAAGCCATGAAGCATCTACTCTTTTTCCTTTGTGTAGTTTTGTCCCATTGGGTTTTTCTATACAAAAGGTTTTAACGAGGGATGTTTTCATGGTTCCAAGCTTTACCATAAGGCATGGCAAAGCTTGAGGGGGAGTATTGAATTAAATAAATATAGTAGTTATTTATTCTAGCTTCTCTAGTAAGCCAAGTGTGTTTGGTTACTAGAATAAGAATGTCCCCTCTCTTTATAACTCATTGTAACGTTATTTTTTCAGATCTAAGGAAAAAGTTTCTCCTTCTTTACTCTTTTCTCTCATCTCTCTCTTGTTCTTCAATCTCAAAGCTCCACTTTCTTACAGGTTTGACATCTGTTTCGAAGAGAGTCTTCTCAAAGATTTGCATCGGGTCTGATGCTCCTTTCATGTTTTTCATCAACTGCACAACCCAATCAGGTGTGTCTTTCCCCTCCCATGATGAGAACAAAGGTGAGACCTTCTTTGCTTTCTTGAAACTAGGGTTTCCTTCTTGCACGGCACGTCTCTTGCGGCTTGTGTTGTTGTTCTCTGTTAGGCACGAACAGGAAGAAGATGGTGATAGGGAAGAACTAGGGTTTTGTGGGTTTGTCTTCTCTGAGGGAATCTTGTTAAGATCGAAGAGCCGAAAAGAAGAAGAAGCACCAATGATAAGGTTTCGAAGAGATTTCTTGAACGATGATGATCTTGGTCTTCTTGGGAAGTGATGGAAGATTCTCTGTTCATCTTCTTGTTTCCAAGAAACGGTCTTCTTCTTCTCCAATGTTCGCTTGTGTTGTTGTTCGTACAAAAGAACCGCTTTATCCACCAAAAGAGAGAAATTCGACCACTTCTGCGTGAGATCACCGTAATACATACTCATCGTGATCGGAGATACACAGAAGAAGAAAAAAAAAATCAAGTTTTGAGGAAAGTAAAGAGAGAGAGCGATCGAGAGAGTTTTAGAACTGAGAATGAGAAAGCGAAAGTGAGAGGAAGAGTGGTTTGTGTTTACACTAAATACTATTTGGTCTCGTTGCAATCAAACCCTAAGATCGTCATCAGATATTATAGCCGTTTGTTTAGTTTTCCTTTTCACTATCTCACGTGCAAATTACCGTTTGATCTCTTTTTTTTTTTTTTCATTTAATTACCGTTTGATCTCTATTTACGTAATTTCTATTTTTCACCGTCTTGAATTTTTTTTTTTTTTTAAACATATGACAGAAACAGTTCAGATGAGGTGTTTTTCTTAACAACACAATTTTGTTAATTACAAATTAAAGGAACCAAACCATAGTAGTACATACATAATTATGAAAATACAACAAATAACTTAAGTAAACTAATGAAAAACATAAATGAGTAATTTCCTTTTTCCCAATGACGGTGAATTACAGCAAATATACCACTTTCGCTAGCTTGCAGATCAAGTAGAAGGGCATTTTCGTTAATTAATAATATCTTTACACACCTAACCTCGTTTCCCTATAAATACAAACTCCCACCCGTAGTAGAGAAACACACAAAAGAAAAAACCTAGAAGCGAAGTCAAGTGAAATCCAATTTAGAATAACGATCAACCATGGTTGCAAGAAGTGAGAATCTTGATCAAACGATGGAATTTACGGCCAAGAAACTTGAGAGGACGGTGGAAGATACGGCGGCGAAGTGTATGATGCTGTTATCAAGAGTTGGGGGATACTGCGGAGGAGGAGGAGGCCGAGAGATGAGTCGTGTTTACAGATGCAAAACTTGTATGAAAGAGTTCTCATCGTTTCAATCTTTAGGAGGCCACCGCGCAAGCCACAACAAACACCTTAAGAACAGCAGCAGCAGCGACGAACAGTCGTCTTCACTTTCTAAGAAGAAGACAAAGGAACATCGTTGTCCGATATGTGGCTTGGAGTTTCCGATGGGACAGGCTCTTGGTGGTCACATGAGGAAGCATAGGAACGAGGAAGAAGCTAGCGGCGCGTTGGTTACACGCTCTTTTTTCCCTGAGGCTGCGACTACTATGACATTGAGTAAATCGAGTAGTGGGAAAAGAATTGCTTGTGTGGACTTGGTGGGGTCAGATTCTATGGAGAGTAGTAGCATCAATTTGAACTTGGAGTTGGGAAGCATCATGTACTGATTTTCACATGTCATCTCGTATTCAGATATTACTCTTTTATAGTTCCTCTACCCTTGTGTTTTCTTTAGCTTTATAGAGTAGCTATTGCATCTGGATTTGCTTAGAGTTTGTATATGGAATATGATTTTACATGTAAACTCGTCAAGATTGAGATATATGAATGTTGCACTTGCATTTGTTATGAAACTTTTGTGACAAGTCTTTTTGTTATGGTTACACCACAATTGAATTTAAAAAGTTTCATGATCAGTGAAACAAGACAATAAGGTCGGATGTGTAATATCAATGGGAAAGCTACTGGGTAATCAAATACAGTGGAATAAAAAAGAATAGCATGCATTTGCTGAATCTGTCGCTTTTAGTGGTTTTGTTTCAGTTATGCATATTGTAAAAGATTAGTAGGTAACTCTTAGAAGTTAAAAGATTAAATAAAAGCGCAAAGCAATCTAATTATATAAAGGAGAATCATCACTCAGTCCCATAGATGTTATCCATGTTAGGAGGACTCCACAAAACTGCTGGTTCTTAATCTTTGGCAAGAGAAAGATCCCATCAACGCATGAAACAAGATCATCAGTTACTTGGTGCATTCCAAGACTATGAACTTCTGGGACAAGAACTTGGGCGCCGAGGATACAGCGTGAGATAATATTATGAAGTACAGTCAGTAACAAATTTACCTCAAACTTCTCATGAAACCTTTGTTTTTAGTCGCTTCATACGCCAACAGTATTTGGTTTAATTTTAGTCCATTGAATGGTGGCAAACGACAGCGTATTCGTTATTATTTCATATAGGGAGAAAACGACGGCGTTTTGAGTATAAGACGTTGTTTATTGCATCCCATATCGTTAACGCAAAGAGAAGCTGTCTTCTTTATATAGCGCTGAGATGAAGGTGTAGGTCACGACCTTACTTGAACAGGATCTGTTCTATAGGCTCGTACCTCTGTATCCTTGATTTCTAAGGAGACAGGCCCCTAACCCTGGTTGATGAATCATGGCCGTGTGACTTGAGTGTGATTAACGGCTACGGGTCTCTTCGGAGTCTCCGCCGCTGTAGAGGATCGCTATCCGGTTAGGTCTTGTCCTCTCCGGGGTGGTCACACGGTTGTCTGACAGGCTTCCTTTTTTTGGAGATGGAAAAGTTATAAGGACCAGCTTATGAATCATAAAAGCAGGGATGATTGTCTTTATAGTTTTTGAGTTATGTATACTTCTAAGTCTTCACTTAGAGTCATGTAGATTGCTAGCGTCAGAGAACTCTGTGGTTTATGACACATTATGAGGTGTTGGTTTGGACCTTGAGTAGCCAAAATGTGTATTCCTTATAAAAAGAAAACTGTGGTTCTGAGATACTACTGTAGTCTGTAAGGAGTTAGTTGCGTTGGACTTCTTTGGGTTCCGATATAACAGTCAGCCTTTTGCCATAGTGATAACAGACTCTGGGTCCTTCTTGAGTTCCTGCAGGTACTCGTAATCATATCTTTCGTCTACAGTTAGCTAAGATATGAGCATATACATACGCAGGAAACTTTCTAAAACATCCTTGCTCAGACATGATGTTTCTTCCTCCGCAAGACACTACTTGTTTCCTCCCCAGTTCAAACTAATTTTAAGTATAGTAAACATTTTCACATGTGTATGTATTTTCTTCCCTGGAGCCATGTTTACTCGTGTCACTATGTGCTGTAAAAATAAGGCACTTCATGATCATACGCCGAACCTTTTTTGTTTTTGTTTTTGTCCTTGAATCTGTCTTCCTCATCTACAGATTTCTTTGTTGTTGTTAGGAAGATGTAGAAATTTGACTTATAAGCAGGGATGATTGTCACTATAGTTTTGAGTTTGATCGGTATCCTGTTAAGTCTTGGCTTAGAGTGATGTAGATTGTTGGCGTCAGAGATCACTGAGCTAAATTCTTTTTTTTTTTTTTAGTATGTTTATTATATTTGTTTGCTAGTTTAAAGGTGATTACAAAGACCCGAATAAGAAATACATTTACTTGGGACAGAACTGCTTCTCTTACAGCCTTGTGCATATTCATGCTCAAGCAATCTCCAACGTTCATTACTCCTAGCCTGATTTTACTGCTTACATGCCTTTGCTATATTTGTTGGTTTGATGTTTCTGGTGAAAATTTGCTCAAGTTTCTGTATAGTTTCTTCATTATTGTTGTTCTGACGTGTGTTTCTTCTTTTCAGTTTTCTCGACAATGAGCCAGCCAGGGGTAACAAATGCAGCTCTAAGTCTTGTAAAGGAATCATCCCCAGGTAACCCTTCTTTGGCTAAAGCACAACTTCTCCAGAGTTTCAGAGAGCAAAGCTATATCTCGATGACGTGTTTACCAGAAAGCTTATTCTAAATGATAATCATGACTAGAGAAACGTATCCCCAAGATCCAATGAGAGCACAATTCCACAACTCAAACGTTAAGAGGAGCAAAAGTTTGCACAACTATCAGCAACGAGAACAAGAGAAAAATGACACAGTCAAAAAGGAGTGAAAGCAGCAAGCAGAAAGAGCCAAAGAGGAAATAATAGATAGAACTGCAGAAGAGGCCGAAGACTGTATAGATTCATAATTCAGCTCAGGCACTTGGTTGTTTGACGATTCAATTTTTGTATTTAGAGACTATATACTTTCCAAAAACAGAAACTTGTCTTGGCAACACATTTTTATTCCTGGTTTTATATTGTTCTTTCTCTCTATACAACTAAAATGAGTTAAAATCATGTAAAATTCATGAAGATTCAAGTAAGATAAATGAAACTATCAATAAACTGAAACTTTTAAGACAAAAACGTATTCATGTCAAAACGGTCATCAATCTTCATAGTACAAAATCATAAACAACTAGAAATTACTTGAGATAAACCCAACAAGGTGTTGTAAGATCAAACACAACTATACCAAAACCCTAATCTTGATAATTACAATTCTGAAAAGGCACCTAACAGAATCGCCTCAAGTAAAAAAAAAGTTATCACAGACAAAGAAAGAGCTACTCTGAGTCACATGGGAAGGGGAACAAGGGCAAAACAGAGGACTCCTCGGCACCTGAAAGACCAAAGACTAATGATGTCGCCACCTTTCAATCCATTGGCCTTGACGACATCGTTCCAACCACAAACCAAAGCGTAGTTCCAAGAACCGTTCATCTCCCATCTCTTGAGAAACACACCCCACTTCCTAGTGCCTTGATCAACAAGAACCGCTCCCACACCCATCTTCTCGTTGTTGTTGATGTCTTCCTCCATGATTCTCGTCTCAACAGGTGTCAAGAAGTCTTTTCGGATCAGTTTGTGGAAAGGGATTGAGAGACGGCTCTGGCTTGGTTTGACATCTGTTTCGAACAGAGTCTTCTCAAAGATTAGCATCGGGTCTGAGGATCCTCTCATGCTTCTCATCAATTGGATCATCCAATCCGGAGTATCTTTCCCCTCCCATGATGAGAATAAAGGTGAGACCTTCTTTGCTTTCTTGAAACTAGGGTTTCCTTCTTGCACGGCACGTCTCTTGCGGCTTGTGTTGTTGTTCTCTGTTACGCACGAAGAGGAAGAAGAAGATGATAGGGAACTAAGGTTTTGTGGGTTTTTTGTCGTTGTCATCTCTGAGGGAATCTTGTTGAGATCGAAGAGCGGAGAAGAAGAAGTGGTTTCTTTAAGGTTTCGAAGAGGTTTCTTTACCGACGATGATCTTGGTCTTCTTGGGAAGTAAAAGAAGATTCTCTGTTCGTCTTCATGTTTCCAAGAAACGGTCTTCTTCTTGCGTTGTTGTTCGTACAAAAGAACCGCATTATCCACCAAAAGAGAGAAATTCCACCACATCTCCGTGAGATTACCGTAATACATCATACTCATTGTGATCGGAGGGAGATACGATACACAGCAAAAAATATATCAAGTTTTGAGGAACCTAAAGAGAGAGCGAGAGAGAGTTTTAGAATTGAATGAATGAGAAGAGAAAGTGAGAGGAAGAATTGTTTGTGTTTGGGCTAAATACTATCTGGTCACGTTGCAATCAAACCCTACGATCGTCATAAGATTTTATAGCCGTTTGTTTAGTTTTCCTTTTTCACTAGCTCACGTGCAAATTACCGTTAGTCCATATTTCCGTAATTTCCATTTTTCACCGTCTTGAAAATTCAAAAAAGAAAAACATATTAACAGAAACAATCCCAAGTAGATTGATTATGTACGTGTTGATAAGTTGAGGTTTTTGCTTTGGCAGAAGAAACGGTTAGAAGCTGTTCAGTTCCAAGTTCTAGTCCGGTATTAACATAAACTGTCCATATATTTTAACAATGTTATCTGACCGTACACGTGTGAGGAGTTGTTAGAAAAATAGCACCCCGCTGTTTGAAACTATTTTAAGTTCTCCCCTAATTCCTTGATATGACAATCTACACCCTAGCGAGTTCAGTTCACCCTTGTGGGAGCTTATGCTTACCGCCTTAGTGAGTAACGTTTCAAAGAAATTGAAGCTAAGGACGATAGGATATGAACAAGAGTCACCTAAGAGCTGTGTCTTGCACTCTTGCTAAGGTTTACACATGTTATAAGCGTGAGGAAGAAGGACAAATTTGGATAACTGACACAAATGCGACTTAGATATTCATCGCTCTGAAACAGAAGACAGAAGCAACCTGCGATGAGGCTGTGAAAGAAGGTGGCAGCAAAGCTATAGATGGTTGGGTTTACAATGGAAACTTGTGCACCAGGGCTTAATTAGGTTCAGACACAGTTGTGTATATTCTGATAATACTTTGGACATGAACTCTACTAATCTAAAGTAATAACAAACGAATCTTCTCATTAACTATGATCTTTGTATCACCAAACAGTCGTATAAAATACTCAGTCTGTCACACATTCTTACGTATATATATGTATATAGAGAAACCCAGAGAGAAAGCTTTCTTCTCTCATATAAAATTGTCGTATTCCTGGTTCTGAAGATTAAGCGCACCTATGCAGAGGAAGCTAAAGGTATGGGAACCCTTCATTTGTAATGGGCTGCAAGGAAGGAAAAACAACAACTGTTACATTATTAAAAACACGGATTAAAAGAACTTTATAAGCTTGAAATGTAGAGGGAGGCTGAGGCTGTTCTAAGATAAAGTTAACTGGTATGTCTTAACTCAAACAACAATATCTAAGCTGTTTTGTGGATAACCAAATCCAGTACTCTAAGGTAAAACAGGCTTTTATAAATTTTCAGAACTTACCTTTAATGGATAATCTGTTGATTAGAGGAGAACCACGTTGATGAACTTCCTCTTAGCGAATGCAAGCCACCATTTGTTTGGTGTCCCATTAGCTCTATACGCTACACTCAGTAGCCTCCCACTAGTCTCCTCGCGAACCTGCTTCAAATAGTTCCTAAAAAGATCTGACATTTAAACCCAACAAAACAAGAGAGTTAGACAGTGAGGATCAAACCAGCTCAAAAACATACCTATTAACAACGCACCTGCTTCTTCCTGAGACGAAGGAAGCGAAAAGAGACCTGGAAAAGGAAACCCAGTTTCCCCAGGAACAGAAACCTCCTCCAAACCCAAGTTGATAATCGCCTTAGTTCCCACAGCCAATGTTCTACACCCTTCGAGCCTCTTCAACGCCACGTTTATGTAGAAAGTCAAGTAGATAAGGAGCTTATCAGCAGGGCTTTTGATAGGGAAGTTAGTGAAGAAGACATTAGCGCGGAAAAACGTGATTGCCTCGTCCACAATATCAGTTTTGTCTGCGTATATAAAACAAACAAACATGAAAATGAACTTTTGTTTACTGCTCTCGAAGATGATTTTTGATATGAATATACCTTGTTCTGAAACAGGTGCAGGACCCTTGATGTGGCTCTTAAGAGGAAGCAAAGGACAGCCACATGCCTTTGTTATTCCTTCTTCTTCCACGAAGCTCGAGTGATACACCTGAGAAAGGGCGTTTAACCATGGAACAAAATGAGTTACAAGCAGTGCATCGAAATTGGTGATGCAAGCTTCTAGATCGACGAAGTAGAAGATACAATCGAATCAAACTAGGTCTAACGTCAATTTAAGATACAAATTGAATATCAGTTACCATTTGGTTCCCGATTCGAACAACGAATCAATCGGATCGAGGATGTGAGAAGGTAGATCTACTGCGATGAAGAAGATCACGGAAGTATCAGAATCGATCGGTAGGTAGGTGAACGAGACGAGATTAGATTGATTTTTGAAAAAAAACTTTGACCTGAGATCAATTTAAGTTCTAAAGCATCTGTTAAAATAGATAAAACGAAATAGATTCTCCTGATATACCTGAGTCCGGTGAAGAATCCGCGGCGAAGTAGCGACGGCGATCTATAATCGACGGAGTAGGAATCGAATGGAAAAAAAAAGATCAAAGGGTAGAAGAAGACAGTCAGATATGTTGACACGTGTAAAGCTTGCAGAATGGTACCGGTGCTACTACTAATATCAATTCCCGGTTTTGATTTGATGTTTGATTAAACCGAATTAACAGAAATCGGTTATAGCTCGGATTTATTCATGATTTTTTTCTAACTCTACACGAAATTATTTATAAGGAATTGAGAATTCTGTAGAACAAGTTTTAAATTTCGGTTTAGGTATGTCGAAAGTGAAACATCATCAAGCGAATGAAATATGGTTTGATTTTTGAATTAGTTTTCCGGTTCAGTTACTGGTTACCTTGGATATATATATCATCTTTACATAAAGGAACAGTCTTGGAACAACAAATTGAGACTATTACATCTTGACCCCAAACGAATAACTTTAAAAGACTTCCTTTTTCTACACAGATTTCGTAAAAATACAAATGGTGATCACTGGCACCAAGAGACTAAACTAGACTGATGCTACATTCAATGGCTTCACCATCATTTAGATTACCAGTTACTGGAGTGTGTCGAAAGTTATCATCACCTGAACACTTAAGAACTGCTCTTTGCATAGTATGATGATGAGGTTTCAAGTCGTTACTATGGCTCTGATCTTTGTAGCTCGTGAATGCGCCTAAGGCTCCAAGAAACCCTTCATGTCTTAAGAACATTGCTTTTGCTTCACCTCTCGACCTGAAATAACAAACATTAGTCTTTGTTCTGAGGGGTTTATTAAAGTTTTTTTAGGCTTACCAGAAATGAACAGCAACAGATATTGTGTCCATGGTGTACTCGAGCCCACGGATGAAAAACCCACCAAAGAAAATACGCTTAAGGCCGAATCTTAGAGCATTCAAGTAAGCAATCTGTAGAAAGATAGAGGATGAAACAAACATCAGCTTCCAGTCTTGTAAAATGGATGGAAATGTTTGCAGGAACAGACCTGACCGATGTTGTTAGATATCATTCGTAGAAGGGATCTTGCTACATCTTCTGGCTGGTACTCTTCAAGTTCTTTGCCGTCAGAAATCGCTTTCCCGAAGCTGGAAGCGATGGCTGTTGAGGACAGACCAATCTACCAACAAAAAAGGAATGAAAACTCGTTTTCATGATACCAATCCAAAACATTAGCAAAACCAACGTTAATGAAGTTACCTTTGAGTAATCTGTTCCACCGTAGATATCACCAACAAGCATATCAATTACTCTGTTATTTCCCTGGTGACTTAACTCAAGCAGCTCATCAAAACTGAAAATCAGTGATATTAGTTAGTAGTTACTCAAGAAAGGAGTAAACTGCATGAATAGCGTTTACATAAGAAAGAAAGTTACCTCTTGCATTTTGTTAAAAGCTTTCCAAGACCTAGAAATGTGCCTCCACCAAGGCTTGTTCCACTTATTCGCTCATACTTTCCATCTCCATCGACCTACATAAGAACCAGACTGAGTAAGAAACTCTGCTGCTCTCTACTTGCAAGAATGAAAACATAAAATGTGATCAGAGAAGCCAAAACCATAGTGAAGAACCTTGATCATGCTAACGCCCGAGCCGATATTAACAAGGAGATATGGATACAAATCATTATGGTCGATCTGTACAAATTCCTTTTGGCCATCCAAATAGGTAAAAGCTTCCCTTGGCACTGTCTGCAAATCAGATTCAGACTTCAGGTGTAAGCACGCATCCAATAATTTATATGTTATGGATTAGTAGCTATAAGCAAAACTGCATAACCAGGAAAGTTTTCAAACAATCTGTTCTCTCATGATCTTTAAAATCAAAGAGATAATGATAAGATAAGGAAAAAATCAAACCTTCAAGAGAAAGTTGACACCACAAACAAGAGAATGCATCTCATCTTCCTTATCAAAAACAATTCCAAGTTTATCCTTAAATAGTTCAGCAAACTTAAATGCTCCACCACCTGTGGCCTTTTGGAACAACAAAACCAGTTAGCATATACTATAAACTTCAAAGCAACATTCCTCAGCTTTTACCTTAACAGAAAATTTATCGCGTGCTGTGCCATTCGGATGCTGAACACCTGAATAGTTTACAACAAGTGGACTTTTAGTCAATTTGTGATGGGCAAAGGAATCAATAAGCTTATTGTAGTTTATATTAGAAAAAAAAAAAGACATTATTTTGCCTCCATTTCCTAAAATACTTAAGAGAAAAGCAGCAAAGACAAAAACTAATTAAACAGGCGTGATCATCTAGAAAGTAGACTAGTATATTCGTGTTTTGCCTAAACGTGTGTTTATGATCTGGTTCGGACAACATGTGTTTCACACTAATCATTACTCCAAAAAAAAAAAAACAGATCTTTGAATTTTAGATAGAAACACAAACCGGAATGTTGAAGGATATTGAATCGGATAAACTCAATACAATCATCAATCTTTCTGGTCTCAAACTTGGCGAAACAAAGCCTCCCTTTCACGACGGAGCAACCATTACCAACGACGATGCTTCCGTCTTCGCAATTGTCTCCGTTTGGCGAAAAATATACAACCTTTATCAAAGTCCCTGCAATGAAAATCAATTTCCGGATCAATCGACTACGGAAGCGAATCTAAATTCTGAGAAATCGAGGAGGTTTAATATTGGTTAACCTCCGATGTCGAGAGCCAAATGAGAGATTTGAGTCGAGAAGCGAGAATCTTTTGGATCCATTGCCGTTTTTTTTCTCTTTTCGCTTTCAAAATCCTTTCTCTTTTTTTTTTTTCCCTTTTTGATATTGTTTTTTTTTGTTGTAATAATTCAACGTGAATTAAAAGGATGTTCAACGTTCAACTACTTTGGATCTAACCTATGACCTATCCTCATGTCTGACTTGTCTTTCTTCTCCATGGAGCAATGTGCAATGTGCCGCAATGTTTGGTTGTCGCTTTTTTAAAGGAAATAATTGTTTTTTTTACGAGGGACGCAATCTTGCTGACTTGTCATTTGGTCTTTTTGGGTTGGGTTGGGTTGGGTTGGGTTGGGCATACAAAAGCAACTTTGTTGAAAGTCGAGGAGAACATTTGTTTCTCTGTTGAATTGGGACATGTTTTTTGGGTGGAAAACTTGGTCATTCAGGAACTGATGTTTTTTCTTGGTGCCGAGATAATATGTGAAAACCCATTTAAAAGAATGATTTCTTGTTTGCTATATGACAATGCACAATATGGTTCCTTACCGCTTTGGTGCTACTCCCCGCATTTGTTCAATTTTTGAGTTTTAAATATCGTTTTATTCTTCGGATATCCATAATGTTTTGGGTTCGGATAATACACATAATCTGAAATACTATCTTACAAAATCTATTCAGATACATATAGACTAGAGTGAGTATTGACTGTAAAAAAAAAAAAAATTAGAAAAACTAAAAGTTTGTTACTACAAAGTTGCATAAACCGACATAACATATAATATTTTGAAAGCTCATAAATAAAACAGATATTTATATTTATAAATAATTATATTAAAAATTAAAAAAGAATAAGTAATTTTTATACTCAAGATGTATAAAAATTTAAGTTGAAAATATTCTAGATAATGTTAAACATAAGAATTAAAATTGGTTTATGTGTTCTTATTACATGTGTATTAGGTTGTGTAAGTATAGAAAAATAAAAGTAAAATTTAAGAAACAGTTTATTTAATGATAAGGTATCCCCTATATATTAAAGGAGAAACAATACAACATTTTTTGTAGTCACGTGTCAATACCACAATCTTAAAATTGCTAAAAAAATATGTTGATCCATCTAAATATATAATAAGATTTTTATTAAACTAATTATAAATTAATTATTAATATTATTCGTTGTTTCCTTAAATAAAAATAACATAATTTCCAAATGTGGCTAAAGTATATATGACAATTAATGTTTTTTCAACAATAAAGATTTGATAAAAATGAGTATATTCTCTATTATTTTATAAAAATTTAACTTATTAAAAAAATAAACAACCACATTAACTATATAATAAAAATTTAGATTTTTTGCATATATTATATATTAAATTTTAAAAAACGATTAAAAATGACTAAAGTTGTTAAAATCTCACACTGAATTTTTCTGATCCATGGTTTAAAATATATGTTATAACGAAATATAAATGATTAAAATTTTTGTTATAAAAATATATAAATGATAAAAAATATGAGTATAAAATAGGTCAGTTGAAAAAGAAAGTTATCTCAGTATAATTTAACGGATATCGATATTAAAAATATACTATATTTCTATGTTAATATCATTTAAACTTGATTGTATATCATATACAATAAAATAAAATGTTTAATTAATAAAATTTATTTATGTGTTTACACCAAATTAATTATATACGTAATAGTTACTAAATTTTTAAATACCAATATATATTTATTATTTCATAATATGTAAAATAACATATAATACGTAAATATATTTTATATATCATATTCATTCCACGCAAGACGCGAATCTTAACCTAGTAACAATAATATTTCACTAAACGTATTTTGATTTATGGTACTTAAAAGATTTTTTTATCAAATAGACTTATAGTAAAAATATATATATTTGTTTTCTATTCTATGATAATTAGATATAATATCTTCAATTCATTAAAAGTAATTAATACATATGAAACTAATTTCTCAAATAATAATATTATAGAGATTAATAAAAACAAATGAACAATAATTATTAATTTATATAGTACTTTGGTTTGTAGACTTGTAAGCATATGAACAATTACATAATAGTTAAGACCAAGTAACATAATTTTCACGTTTGTAGTTAAACATAGAATATGTATATTACATATTTAAAGTGTGGCAGATAATTATGTAATTAACTTTTTCAAAAACAAAGTTAAAAAACTATATAATTTGTAGGATATAACTAGTAGGTCTCGGTGTTGGAGACCCCGTTTGATTTGGTTTGATTGATTTGTATTTTTGAGTTTTCGGTAATATATTCATAAGTTCCATTCGGACTTTACTAATTATCGGATCGGGTTTGGTGTGGTTCTTTCTAGATCGGTCTAATCAGATTATATTGTAAAATGGCAAAAAAAAATTGAAAACTAAAAATATAGACAAAAATACTCTCTCTCTCTCTCTCTCTATATATATATATATATATATATATTGAGTTTAACTATCTAAACTAATAAAAATATTCAAAATAACAAATAAACTATAAAGATTTTTAAAATGTTCTAAAACATCTAAATTACCTTAATATATATAAAATAGTAAAATATTTCAATAATTTCGGATATAATCAGATTTAAATTTGGGTTTTGGTTCGGTTTAGGTTATACCAAAACCTTAAAATACCAAATTTTCAAATTCCATTCGGATATTTTTGTATAACGGTTTGGATCCAGTTTTTTGGGTTCAGATTAAGGTAGAGAGTTCAGTTTGGTAAAAAATGCCTAAGCCTAATAATGAGCTTAATTACATTCGACTTATCTGTAGATAGTAGATTGAACATTTTGATCTTCATAGAACGAAACAAAATTCTATTTAGGGCTGGGACTTAATATCCGCTATCCGCTATCCGATCCGGGATCCGTCCCGATCCGCTCCGAAAAAACGGATATCCGGGGGGTCCGGATCCGGATCCGGATAGTGATTTTGCGGATCCGGCGAATCCGGATCCGGATCCGGATAGTGAAAATTTTAGTCCGGATATCCGGATCCGGATCCGGGCCCACTAAATAT